TAGCCTTGTGTATGGTCGGGTGGAACCCCTCGGCAATGGCTTTGCAAAGCAGTAGAGGCCATCACAAGTGCACAACCCGCCCCAGCTCTACATACATTCTATGTCCGGACGTGTCTAGAGTCTTAACATGATAGGATGCTTGTCTTGATGAGTTTTATGAAATAAATGCTTATGTTTATGATGACTAAGGTGTTTATATGCGTATGGATATTCTGGGAAATGCTAGATTGATTGAAAATGAATTGTATGATTGTTTGAGACCTAGCTCACCCTTGCATTTGTATGTGTTGCATGTGTTTGCTTTCCCCCTTGCGATGATCATCCAATCCTTTGGATGTGAGCAGTAGGTGATGATGTACCTTTGGAGCAAGCTTTGGAAGTTGAGGAAGACCCAGCACCTAGTGCTTAGGATTTCTACTAGCTCTTATGTTAAATAGCTCTTCATTTTGAAAGACTTCTAGACTTCATTTTATCATGATCTGTATTTTGGAAACACTCTTTAGGTCCCATTGAATCTTTATTCAATCATGTATTTTGGAGAATTATGAACTTGTACTTAAGTTTTAAAACTTCCCAGCCAGACTTGGATAACTGTACTCCTTAATCCTATCTATTGTGTACTCTTAACTGCTTTCTATTATTATAATCGATGCATTCTACATATATACATTGCTATATATTTTGGGATGTTACATGCTAAGTTGTTTAATATGTTATGTGTGCTTGTTTAACTATATATAATAATAATGGAGTCTTTACATTATTCAATACATCTACATAATCTATATAAGGATAAAAATGATAGAAACTATAATAGTTTTATTATTAAAAGCAATTTAATATAGTATATCATACAAATATTGTTTATAATTATACTGTAAATATATGTTTTTCTATTTTTTTTCTCTTACAAGTGATCATTAGATACGATACGTAAATATTATTTTCACTTTCTTACAAATTTTGAAATATAATAAGTATTGTTTTTATTACATCAAATAGTTTCGTATCATTTAAAAGTTAAATCTTAAAACAGTTTAAATATTTTTTTCTTTTTTTACTTTTTCACATATGAAGTTTCAGTTTTTAAAACTAACAGCACTCTATAAGGATGATGTACCTATATTAAAATAATTCGTAGATAAGAGATACTTTTTAATTAAAAAAAAACAAATTCACATGATTCTATTACATTTAATTAGATTTGATTGAAGATAGTGAGATCTTTTGAAAAAAATAATATTTAACACCAATAAATAAATAATGAACAAATTTATGTAAAATATGAAAATATCACTTTGAACTTAAAATTTTAAATTGATGTCTAACAACTCTAATACTATTATAAAGATTTTTTTTAAATAAATATTGAAAATAATCAACATGTGAACAAACTCATAATAAAGATAAAAGGTTATTTTCCACTCAAAATATTATTTTTTTTTTATGTTTTTTACTTTTATATAATTCATTTTATATAAAAGAAAACTTGGTTTTGAATTGGACAGATTTTGAGGAGTATGGTCACCACCCATCTTCTGAATGACAAAGAAAATCGAACTTCTTTCATGTCGCAAACAAACAAGTACCAACGCTGTTATCCACACAACATACTTTTCATTTTTCTTTCCATATCTTTCTCACCAGTCGTACACAACTTCTCCTTTGCTTTCAATTCCCAAAATATATCATAAATTATAATATTTAAGAAAATCAATATTTTATTTCATATATCTAGTTTCATGTTTCAGACGATAAAGTTGATTAGAACTTTCATATTTAACTAAAAATAAAATAAAACTCTAATATATAAATATTGTAAAAATCTTATCCTTTTCATACTAAACATATAATTTTCTTAGATTGTACCAGTAATATTTATTAAGAGCAATGCAATAAAAAAATTTAGACCAATATATCTTAAAATATAAATTCCATTTATATTATAATAATTGTTGTATTCTTCTATTCCAGAGAATTAATTGTTTTTAAATAATAGGATTAAAGTTTGGGTGAGGATAGTAATTTTTATATGACTGAGTCTTCGGCATGTATTATCAAATGTTACATATTATATTGTTTCTTTTGTTTTATACAAACACACAACACCACCAAATTAGTCTATAAATTTATTTCCAGTAATTTTAGTGGACTAATCCACCTCAACCAATAGTGTATTAGGGCTGGATAAACATTTTTAATCCATTTTCTTAAACAATTCCAATCGTTTTTTTTTTTGTGTGGATTGGCATAAATTAACTCAAATTGGCCTATTTTATTATTTGTTCACGCTTTTAAGAAGATATTTACAGACTGACATGATAACAACATTAATGTTATATATATATGGACTACGTTCACTTTATAATTATAATCACATATTATTTTGAGACTGTATTTAGGAATTTCAAAACAAATACGAAAGTGAAAACCACGTGCTTTTTTCTCCATCTTGTTTCATTAGATATTTTGGAAAAAAATATGCTTCGCTTGATTTTTTTATTAGATTCTCAATCTTTATTGTAAAGAGAGGAAAATCAATAAAAAAATGTAATTAATATGGAAGAAAAATGAACATACTATTAAAATATAAATATCTGTAAGATTTAAAATATCAATTATATTTTTGAATTCTCGTGTCAAAACTTAAATACAAAACAAAATGTGATGGGGAGACCAGTTAATAAATTTCCAACAGTGAAAGTTATAATGCAAACCAACGAAAAGAAAACATAATAAAAATTGTCAAGAACTAAATTATTATTTTTTCTGTATGGAAGCTTTGAAAACCTTGCAAATGAATAAAAAGAGAAAAGACAGAGACAGGTGCAAGTGCCCTTCTTTTGGTAGTTGGTGCCACAACAAGAATTTTTTTCTCCTTTTAATTTCATTTTATTGAATAATTAATTGTCACTTTGTCGCAACTTGCAAGTGGAAGGGAGTTGTAAAAATTTTCACATGGAATCACAAACTCTATGCATTCACCTGAAGTTTACCCATCATCATCATCATCATCATCGTCATCATCTATTCTACGCTGCCCTTAAACTTCTCTTCACAAAGTTTCAATCTTCACCGCAAACTCTTTAGCACTCTGAGAAGAAAATGTCAGAATCTGAGGAAGAAAATACAGACCGTGTTCCAAGGTCAAAGCCCGCAGAGGAAGTTGGCTGCACCATGGACTTCGATCTTGACTTAGAAACTTCATGGCCTTTGGATCACATGTCCTTTGGCTCCAATCCCATGTCACCTTTTCTGTTCTCCTCCAACTCTGACCAGCCTTACTCTCCTCTGTGGGCTTTCTCTGATGGAGAAGACGCCAAGTTTCCAGCTTCTGCCTTCTCTGATTGCCACAAGATCTTCCCTTGTATGGTTTCAGATTGGTTTTCTTTGGACTTCAGTTTTGGAATTTGCATCCTTCTTTTTGGACCTGCTCACACCCTTTGGAATGTAACTTGAATAGATGCACCAGAATTTTATTTTATAGATTTATAAATGTAATATGGGGTGGAATTAGTTTCTGTAGTGTATGTTCTTTTGGTGTTAGGAGTTTCGTTTTGCCAATTTTTAGCTCGAAGTTTATGCGAATTGGAAAAAAAAAATACATTTTATTAGAACAACCATTTTAATAGCCAATTACTTTGGTTGAAGCCCTTTTTTATTGCTGAGGAACTTGGTTATTAGGCACAGGTAATATATGGATGGAACTTATGGGATTGAAATTGAATTTCTTTTATCACCTATTCTGAACGCACCAGCTGAAATTTCATGGCTTGACATGGTTGTACTCTTTTGAGTGTAGTTTGTTCAAGCAAGCTAATGTTTTCAGGCCGGAGTTTTGTCTGTAATATGCTTCCCTTGGATTTTACCTTTGCCACTGTAAGCTACATTTTTTTATATGATTCTTGGAGTATTTGAGGTTTGGAGGTTGTAGATATGTTGTGAAGTTGAGCTCAAAGGTGTTATTAACACCATAACTGTTAAGCTTTCATTGCCTACTATCTCTGTGCCCTTTGGTGCTAAACGTGAATTTTATTGTTTCTTCAGGGATCTGCAAATATTATAACCGAAGCAACTGTTTTCAGGTGATTCAAATTCAATTGATGAAAAGCCAGAGGAGAATGATGACAACAAGAAGCTTTTGCCACCACTTGCGCCTATGCCACCACTGGAAAATGTGGGCGGATACTGTGTAATTAAGGAAAGGATGACACAAGCGCTTCGATACTTCAAAGAGTTGACTGAATTGAATGTTCTGGCTCAAGTTTGGGCACCTGTGCGGAATGGTAATCGGTATGTGCTTACAACTTCAGGTCAACCATTTGTTCTTGATCCACACAGTAATGGGCTGCATCAGTATAGAACGGTCTCTCTGATGTACATGTTTGCTGTGGATGGGGAGAACGATGGAAGTTTGGGACTCCCTGGTCGGGTTTTTCAGCAGAAATTACCAGAATGGACTCCCAATGTTCTGTATTATTCCAGTAAAGAGTATCCACGCCGAGATCATGCTCAACATTACAATGTTCGTGGATCTTTGGCTCTGCCCGTGTTTGAACCTGCATTGCAGTCATGTGTTGGTGTACTGGAGTTGATAATGACTTCTCAGAAGATTAACTATGCTCCCGAGGTTGATAAAATCTGCAAAGCCCTTGAGGTTGGGTTTCTTCTAACTTGGCTAATTATGCCCATAATTTGCTCATGTTTGACAAATATCATGTGATGGTTACATGTAATAGTATACCAACATCGATCGTATGTTTCCTTGCAGACAGTAAATTTGAGGAGTTCGGAAATTTTGGACCATCCATACACTCAGGTGATTTAACCATCAGACATGATGCATCCACATCTGTTATATTTCTGTTGTTCTTTATCTTAACCCTTTGTTCCCACAGATATAACTTGGCAATGCTTTTAAACCAGATATGTAATGAAGGCCGTCAGAATGCTTTATCAGAGATCTTGGAGATACTGACAGTGGTTTGTGAAACTCATAATTTACCTCTGGCGCAAACATGGATTCCTTGTAAGCATCGGAGTGTCTTGGCCCAAGGTGGTGGTGTGAAGAAAATTTGTTCTAGTTTTGATGGTAGCTGCATGGGGAAAGTTTGCATGTCTACAACTGACGTAGCATTCTATATTATAGATGCCCATTTATGGGGTTTCCGTGAGGCCTGTGTTGAGCATCACTTACAACAAAGTCAAGGGGTTGCTGGGAGGGCTTTTTTGTCCCACAGCATGTGCTTCTGTTCAAGCATTACCCAATTCTGCAAGACTGATTACCCCTTAGTTCATTATGCTCTCATGTTTGGATTAACAAGCTGTTTTGCAATATGTTTACGAAGCTCTCATACAGGAACTGATGATTATGTATTAGAGTTTTTTCTGCCTCCTAGGGTCACAGACTTTCACGAACAAAAGACTTTGTTGGCGTCCATATTGGCAACAATGAAACAGCATTTCCAGAGTCTTAAGATTGCTTCTGGTGTTGAACTTGAGGATGGTTCAATTGAAATTATCGAAGCAACAATTGAAAGAATTCACACGAGGCATGAATCCATTCCAATTGCCCCATCTATTAGATCACATCCTAGACCTGATACTTCACCATATATGGAGGAGGAAGTTTCACTTGATCCATCAGAGCAACACATATTGATGTACTGTAATGGTACCAATCATGGAGCGAATCTCAGTGATAAAGCAGGTGGGAAAATTGATCATATGATTACTTTAGAGACTAAAACCTCAAAGAAACCCTTAGAGAGGAAGCGTGGAAAAACTGAGAAATCAATCAGTCTTGAAGTCTTGCAACGATATTTTGCTGGGAGTCTAAAAGATGCTGCAAAGAGCCTTGGTGGTATGTTCACACTCCTGAAACATATCGATAATGAATAGTTTTGTTTGTTATCTTCACAATATACATCTAGCAGGAATCACACATTTATCTAAGAATAATATTTATATTTGTCTATGAATACAAATTTTACTTTAGCACAATGAATTTTATCTCTACGAGCCTTTTCTTGGTGTACAGTTTGTCCTACCACAATGAAGCGCATCTGTAGGCAGCATGGGATATCACGATGGCCATCTCGAAAGATCAACAAGGTTAATCGTTCCCTGTCCAAGCTGAAGCGTGTTATTGAATCTGTCCAGGGTGCTGAAGGAGCATTTGGTTTGAATTCTCTCAGCACAAGTCCACTTCCCATTGCTGTTGGTTCCCTTCCTGAACCATCTACTCCAAACAAGTTCAGCCAGCCAGTCTCAATGAGCATTAGACCATCAGAACCTCAGATGAAAGTGAATGAATTGAATGCCTCCAAAGAACTAGAAACAAACAGAGAAGCAGGAATGGAAGATCAATTGGTAGGAGGAAGAATACATAATCTTGAGAGAGTTACCAATGATAAAGGAGGTTCTACTCAGGAGATTGGGAAAGAACCGAAAAGGACTAGAACTGGAAGTGGCTCAAGTGAGGATAGCACAAACCCTACTTCTCACGGTTCATGGCATGACAGTATCCCAAATGAAAGTTCACCTGTAAAAGATATATTCATTACTTCCAACCATGACCAATGTGCAGTGCTAAGGAGATCACCAGAGTCAACACTGCAGCCAGCCACTAATACACCGAACCAGGCCACTCCTTTCTGTATGCCAGAATTTGTGGCTGCAGAACTTCAAGAGCCATTTGGAGGGATGCTAATAGAGGATGCTGGTAGTTCTAAAGACTTAAGAAATTTGTGTCCTTCAGTAGCTGAGGCCATTTTGGAGGACCTTGTTCCTGAAGCTTGTGGGACTAATCCTCCAGCCTTAGATTTGTCTCCCAAGCAAAGCATGGGTACTCCTAATAAAGCAGTGACACCTTTTGCAGCAACGAAAGAAATGAAGACTGTGACTATCAAGGCAACATACAGAGAAGATATCATAAGATTCCGGGTCTCAATGACATGTGGCATTGTGGAACTGAAAGAAGAAGTTGCCAAAAGATTGAAACTTGAGGTGGGTACGTTTGATATCAAGTACCTTGATGATGATCATGAATGGGTTTTGATAGCCTGTGATGCAGACCTGCAGGAGTGCATGGATGTGTCAAGATCACCAGGAAGCAACATAATCAGGGTTTTGGTGCATGACATAACGTCCAATCTTGGAAGCTCATGTGAGAGCTCGGGAGAGTGAGAAGTGTGTGTACATAGGTTTAGTTTGTACTCTAATTATGTAGGTCCTTTCTCGTTTTTAGGATAAAAACACGGAAACAAAATAGTTTTTGGTTATCATTCAGATAAAAGGAGTTGAATATTTGTTGTCTAAGAATTAAAGAGAGGAAGATATGATTCAACAAGTTATTTCCTCTGATAATTTGTGTAAATAGTTTATAAACCAATTTAACTAAACTAGAAGAGCTATCTGGTAAATAACTTTATCTCACCAGCTTATTAAACTGTTTAACAAGTTATTCAAATTCACTAATATCTGGTTTGATTACGTTATATGTATCACTTAATCAATGAATGTATTTAGCAGACCAACTTATCTTGATAAATTAAACCAGTTTAAGCTTCTTCTTTTTTTCTGATCTCCACAATAATTACCATTTCATTTAACAATATATTATGTATTTTAAAATTTAAATATATTTGTACTTCATGTAAATATTAATCCGTAGGTTTTTTTACCCCTGTTTGATCATTTTAAATCCTTGACATTTTTTAACTGTTTTTTCGTTCTTATTATCACGTTTAGTTTCATGTAACAAATTGAAAATATTAATATAATTAAGCTAATCAAATTATATTTCGAATTAAATATAATTAGAGTTTTTTTAATACATTATTTAATTAAGTGATATATTTATATTTACAATACAAAAAAATATATGTAATAATGATCTCTTTTACATTATATACAAAAAAAATAAAACAGTAATAATGATCTCTTTTACATTATATACAATTTTAATATATTAGTAAAAAGCAGACATGATCTAACTTTATATTTTCTCATAAAAGATGGTAGTATTAATTAGGTTTAATAACGTAGAATAATCCTATTTTTGCAGGGTTTTCTCAATTAGATCATGTAAAATCTCTCAATTAGGTCTTTGAATGTGAAAAAATGGATCAACTTAGAGTTTGTCGTTGTGTTGGGTGAATGGCGTTAAAAAATGTTGTGTGTGACATGATGACATTAAAAGGTTTTACTGACATGGCAGATTATGGTGATCAGAGTTAGATTTGTTTTATTTAGAAATTAAATTTTATTGAAATAAAATGATTGAAAACACAACAATTAAATAAAATACAATTAATAATTGAAAACGCAATCATTTTATTTCAATAAAATTTAATTTCTAAATAAAACAAATTCAACTCAGATCACCCACGTCAATAAGACCTTCTAATGTCACCTTGTCACATACAACATTTTTTAATCTCGTCCACCCAAGATAACAGCAAGCCCTAAATTAATTCAAGTTTTCACATTCAAAGACCTAATTGAGAGATTTTACATTTTCAATATGAGGACCTAATTGAGAAAACCTTCCAGAAATAGAAATATTCTACATGATAAAACCTATTAATTAAAATCAATGATGAGTAATTTACGACTGTATATATAAAAAATAACATCAATGGATTATTTTATGCCATTACATTTCTTCACAGTTTGATTGTTTAAAATTTCCAATTCAATAATTGTTTTTAGTTAAAAAAAATATTGTTAGTTTTGTATAATTGAAACATTAGATTTATAAATTTCATGAAAACATTTTAAACAGAATTTAATTACTAATTAACTATAGATCAAATTTAATTCATTATCATGAAAATGGTTTAAACAAAAGTTTATAAAACCAATCCCAGCGTGACAAACAAGGGTTGGGTGCACAATTGGATGGTGACATGTGGACAAAGGTTACATCACTTTTTGGAAAGAACTTAACAGAATCGCTTTGTATGCTGAAAAATGATTAGTATCATATTCCAAAAAGTGTAGCCATACAAGCCTATAAAGTTTTTCAAGAATCGTATTATAATTATTTTTAAGAAAAATACATATTTTTCTCTCACAATCGTAGGAGGATCAATTCTATTTCAGGTATGGACCTATAATCAAGTTAACAATTTCCATAAAAAGAAATACTAAAATTAGAGTATAATAATTTATTTAAAATTCATCAAATGCAATATTTCTAGAAGTACTATTGTTGATAAATGCAATTTTTGAAATTGCATCGTACATTAAATTTATGTTAAATTTTTTAGAGTATAATAATTATGCAGAAATTAGAATCTGTTCGCTGTTTATGAATCTTAACGAAGTATTATTTTTATTAATGCACAGTTTTCTAACATAATGATACACGAAACTTAAACCAACTAATGCAAAACCTATTTTATTACACAAACCAACCTATAAATTACATGCAATGAGCAAAAAGTAGTGGATTCAGTGAGTGACTCTTGAGAGTGTGGGAATGCCATTTTAACTGATTCTTGATCTTGGTGTGTTTGGGTTGATATTTTTGGTGTGAGTGCGTGCAGTTCAGAGGTGATTGAATTCTTAGATGGCATCGATCACTACTCCAAATTCTCTTCAAATTCGATTAGCTTTCACTCCTTTCAATTCCACGAAAATAAACCCAATTCTTTTCCACACGCGCTTCACCAACTTCGATCGTCGTCGCGTTCGCCTTCTCTGCATTGCAAATCACGAAAACGGGTCGGGTTCTGTTCCTATTCGGTCCGGGTCGGATAACCGTTCCGTTTCGGAGTTTAAGAAGAACGAATCATATGGAGGTGAGGAAATTGTCTTAACTTCCAGATATATTATTCTCTCTTTTGGATTTAGGTCAATTATTCTAAGAGAACGCTATTGATTATAAAACTGATTGTCCCGTTTTTTAGTTTTATCAATGAGCGAGTAGTTATAGGCCGTGGTAATTATTTAAATTTTCAAAAATTGTTGATGTATGAAATGTTTGGTTGCGTTATATCTCGTTGTGGGATTCGTTTTCCATTCATTTGCATTTCTTGGTTTGCTTCTTGTACTTTAGACAATGTTTGGATAAAGTTGTCAATGAACACAAATAATCAGGAGAAAGAAATAAAAGGCTAAAGCGAATTGAGTTTGTCCTATAAGTTAAAATCGTCATTCAGAGAAGATAAACAAGGGAGTTTTTATAAACTAATTTATATATAAGTTTATTATTCTTTCTTATTTGATTTTTGGGTGATGACATATTGTAGCATTACTGTTTGGGTAAATATTTTTTATTCCAAAAAAATTGAGTTTAGTTGATTTTGTTTCACAAATTTGGTTTTTAGTAATTGTTACTTGTATTGATTAAGTTTAATATTGATTAATTTTGAAAGAATCATTAAGAATTTTAAGTTTACAAAATAAAGATAAATTCAATTGGTTATTAACTTTATTTCTTTTCTAATAAATATATGTGATTATTACTAAAGATCATTAACCATTACCAGATATCAAACAAAACTAACATAGTTAAAGTTGTTGGACTAAAATAATAAGAAATATGTCAATAGTTTATATACTAAATTGACTGTTTATCCTTGATTCTTTTGACCATGCTTGATGAAATATGTTTCCAAATAAAGCCTCTGTATTGATATGGTACAGATAGTCTGTGAGGTTTACGGTTTCACATGCAATTGTAGAGGATTATCGGAAAAGATATTAACATTATTTTTGTTGCTGTTAGTATTTCTCCTTACTTGACACTTTTTAAGTAGTTTGTTTTCAGGAGTTGTGGGAGTGGGTGTGGCTGGAATCTTTCTTCTTTCAGGGATTGCTTTTGCTGCCTTCCTTGTAAGCAGGCGAAACGGTGCCAGTAAGCAACTTTTTTTGCTTCTGCTTTTGCCATGCATTAACCATCAAGTCGTCTTGTGGGGCAAGTTATCTGCTTTTGAGTGAAGCAATTTAACTTATGCATGCTTGACTGCGTGCAGGACAAGTGAAGCCCCTGACTACACATCAGGGAGTGCTTTTATCTTCTGATGATTGTAATGACAAAACAGAAAATGTAAACGCTGACAACAGGGTGGAGCAAGGAGATATTAATGTAGAAGGTCAGATAGACATATCCCGGGGTTGTTTATCTCCTGAGTCTGATAAGATTCCAAATTGCCATAGAATTGTTAATGATTCTGACATAGAATCCCAGTTGGTTCGTGATATTCATAACATAGATGATAATGCTGATGCCATCATATACATATCCGTTCAAGAAGAACTACAGCATGGGTCAGTTGTTGATGATAGGTATGTTGTTCCCAGGGAGGGTACAGTGGCACTTAATGATCCTGAACCTGAAACTCCTATTGATTCTTTGGATAGTTATAGATTTAAAGATTTTGATAGCAGCTCTACTGTAGATACAGATAACCCTACTACTGAGCTTAAGGAGAACCCATCCTTCATTGAACCAAGAAACATGTCCAACATTGATGCTGAGCCCCTACCTGTTATATGTGAGCAGCAGGATGAAATTATCGTTTCAAGTGGCAAAAGAAGTTCTGCTATTTTTAATACTTTAAGTTTTGTAGCTGATGATGAAAGTGTACCAGTCAATATTGATGTCAGTACTCAGTCAAATAAGACAACTTCAGATCCTGAGGTTTTTCTTGAAGAGGATGATCCATCACTTTCAACCAAAGGAAATCTTGATCTGAACAACATGCCGCAGGTTTCAGACAAGTCATCCTTTGAGGAGCAGAACTTTTCAGAAGATGACCTGTTGGCAAAATCATTTGTCTCATCAACTAATACATTTCTAGATGGACAGGTAAAAAATGATGATAATGAGGTTAATAAATCTAGATCTGAATCTTCAAATTCTGGAGCCTTTTACTCTGCTCCCGGTATTCCTGCTCCATCAGTAGTTTCTGCGGCTGTAGAGGTGTTTCCTGGAAAGGTTTTAGTTCCTGCAGTTGTTGACCAAGGCCAGGGACAAGCATTAGCTGCTTTGCAAGCTCTGAAGGTATGTCTTTGTTCTTATTTGCATTTTTAAACGGATAGTAGGTCAAACATTATTTTTGTGAAGCATAAGGACTACATATTTAAGAACTTGGGAAAGATGGACTTGATAGATTTTTCAATAACACATTTTAGATATAGTTTGGATTTTGTTAGAGTAAAATATTCCAATGGGTCTGATAATTATTTAAAAATTTGTATATTCACTGAAAATTTTGCTGCATAATCAGATTATTGAGTCTGATGTTGAACCCAGTGATTTATGCACACGCCGTGAGTATGCTCGATGGTTAGTGTCTGCTAGCAGTGCTCTATCAAGGTAGTTATTTATTTCTTCTTCCAATCACTGTTATGTGAAATAACAATATTCAAACAAGATATTTGTATTATTGTAATATGTGGCTGTATGTGTGCTTTTCTGATTGTTTTTTCAGGAAAACAATCTCAAAGGTATTTCCTGCCATGTACATAGAAAATGTTACTGAGCTTGCATTTGATGATATCACCTCTGAGGACCCAGATTTTTCTTCCATTCAAGGTCAGAGTAGGATCTTTGAATGTTGTGTTTTAATACAACAGCTTGTCAGTATGTATGACTTTTTCCTAGCTTATCACGTCTAATGAATATGGACACTTCAGGCTTGGCAGAAGCTGGACTTATTGAAAGCAGGCTTTCAAGATGTAATGGACAGTTGGTTACAGATGAACACGATGGCCCATTTTACTTCTCTCCTGAAAGGTATGCTTTACTAAATTTGGTATTTGATATCTATTCTGTGGTTACCTTCATTTTACTGGGCCACATAGTTAATATTCATCATTATTGGAGTTCACCTATCTTTTTCAATTATTCACAATTTTACATGGTTTCCTTTTTTTCTTTTAATCTTGTAACTTTGTATAGCATTGGTTGTGATTGTGATTCCCTTCTCTCCTGTATGCATTTCTCGCAGCCCTTTATCACGTCAAGATCTTGTTTGTTGGAAAACGGTCCTAGAGAAAAGACAGCTTCCAGAAGCAGATGGAAAGGTTTCTCAACGTTGTTCTGTTGTGCTTATGTTATTCTTGTTTTTCTAGTTGCAGTTGGACTGCAACCTAATCAATTGTTTGCTTCAAATATAATCTTGCATGGGCAGATGCTGTACCAGCTTTCTGGTTTTATAGATGCTGGTAAGGTACACTCTGATGCATTCCCTGCACTTGTTGCTGATGTATCTGCTGGGGAGCATGGAATAACAGCTCTTGCATTTGGTAAGTCATATTCTCTTTTGAAGCATTTGAAAATTTTTCATTTGTCTTACATGTCTTATTTGCTTTTGATTTTAACTTTTTCTTCTTATTTGATTTGGTGTGTGTGTGGTGGTGGTGGTGGTTAGGTTATACACGATTGTTCCAGCCACATAAACCTGTGACAAAGGCCCAAGCAGCTGTAGCTCTTGCTGCTGGAGATGCTTTTGACATAGTTAATAGAGAGCTTGCACGCGTTGAGGCAGAATCTTTGGCCGATAACGCTGTTGCTTCTCATAGTGTTTTAGTAGCTCAAGTTGAGAAGGATATCAATGCAAGTTTTGAACAGAAGCTTTCCATAGAGAGGGAAAAGATCAATGTTGTTGAAAGATTGACCAGAGAGGCAACATGCGAGTTGGAAAGGTTGAGGGCTGAGAGAGAAGAAGACAGAATTTCCTTCATAAAGGAACGAGCTGCTATTGATTCAGAAAGGGTTATTTTTTCTAGGTTAAGGCTTGAGACGGAAGATCATCTACAAAACCTTATGTGTGACAAGGTTGAAATAGCTCATGAAAAAGAGAGGATTAGTAAGCTTCGGGAGCTGGCAGAAAATGAAGAGAAGGAAATTAAGCGAGTGCAGTATGAGCTAGAGGTTGAACGGAACGCTTTGTCAATGGCAAGGTAAAATTATGAAAATTCATGAAGCAACTAAATTGGTTTGATCATCTTTAAGTTATGGTTATAACATAAAATAATTGTGGAAACTGGCAAATATTGTTTTCAAGTTTGACTATTGGTAGTCTAGATTCATATTTAAATTAGACATTTGATATTGACATCCATAATTCCAGGTATATCCATTGGTTGATCCCTTTGTGTTTCTTGGTTTGATGTTTTCTTCTGGTCAAAATATTATCTTGTTTCTATAACTGTTTTGAGATTTCTACGTTTTATTCCTGACACGTTGTATTTGAATTCTTTAGTTTTTTTCTTTTTTACTTTGACTGAGTGAACTGTATTACCTCAAAAATTGTTTAATGAAATATAAATTTCAGTGACTAAAAGTTGAGAAGCAATAATTTTATCTTGAGACCTGCCATATAGTTGTGTTATATTACAAGCGAAGTGTGTGGTGTCAGGGCATGGGCAGAGGATGAGGCAAAACGAGTAAGTGCATATGCAGTGGCCTTGGAGAGGGCTAGAGATCGTTGGGAGAGGAATGGAATCAAAGCAGTGGATGATAACTTCCTTGAGAACTCTACTGGAGTTCCAGTGCTGAATCTTGAGGAGCAGTTATCGATTCAAGATACGGTTGACCGGGGTGAAAACTTACTGCAGAAGCTAAAGAAAATGGCAGCAGATGTGGGAAGAAGAGCTCGAGATATGATTGACGAGATTATCCTCATAATTTCTCAATTCGTATCAAGATTGAAAGAGTGGACAAGCAAATCTGGAAAACAAGCTGAAGAATTGAGAGAAACTCTTATCGCAAAGGCAGGCAAGTCAGTTCATGAGGTGCACCAAGGCACCGCTGAGTTTGGTTTTACTATAAAAAATGGGGCAAAGCGAGTTGCGGGTGATTGTATAGAAAGAGTTGAGAAGCTCACTCAAAATTTCAGGACCTGATCTCTCCCTGTTATGCTAAGTTGCTTTGGAATACCGATGTCAATAATATCTTTTTTGTACAAATCAAATTAATAACGAATATGCTATTTTCGTGCTTCTTTGTTTTAAGAAATCAACAAGAGAACAAAATTGTCTTCTTTTCAGTATCCATTCAAACATTCAATATAAACGTAGTTCAGTATACACATTCGAAAATCTAAGTTTTAATTGTAAAATAATTAAAATAATAAATAAACGGTAAACATTAATCAAATGGTAATGGTAATTAAATACATATGAAGACTATAATAGATTTGAGACTATAATATATAAATGTAGCATCAATTTTTGTATAAATGAAATCAATAATGGTGAAGTGAGTAACCACTTGTAATTCGACATGTTAATTTCTTAACTCGTGTGTTCTAAGAAATCAATCAAGGAACAAGATTGTGCCTTTTTTTTTCAGTTTTCATTTAAGCATTCAATTATCAGCATAGTTCAGGATACACATCTGAGAGTCTTAAGTTTCAATTGTAAAATAATTAAATAAACCTCAAAACATTAACCATATCGTAATGATAATTAAATACATTTGAAGACTATAATATATAAATATAGCATAATTTTTGTATAAATGAAATTAATAATGATTGAGTGAGTAACCACATGTTATTTTCATGACTCTCCTATGCTTTAAGAAATCAACCAAGAAACAAGATTTTGCCTTCTTTTCAGCGTCCATTCAAGCATTCCATTATCAGCGTAGTTCACGATACATGTTCAAGAATCTAAGTTTTACTTTAAAATAATTAAAATAAATAAATAAACTACAAACATTAACCAAATGCTAATAATAATTAAACCATAACATATAAATATAGCATCAATTTTTGTATAAATGAAATTAATAATGATGGAGTGAGTAACCACTTGTAATTCAATAAGTTGTTTTCTTGACTCTTGTTTTAAGAAATCAACTGGGAAACAAGATTTTCAAGCATAAAATGTAATTCTTTTCGAAAATCTAAGTTTCAATAGTAAAATGTTGGAGTAACACTTAAGTTATTATAATCAGGTTTGAACTAATTCTAAATATTCACTCTTTAAGGTGTTTCACCTTGTCCCTCCAATTTTTTCACCCTACACCCCAAATTTTCATAAATATTCTCTAATAGAGGTGGCTATGTATTAAAATTGATTTGTTAAGAATTTTCATGTACTATTAAATGAAGTTTTCAAAAGTTGAATATAATGTTTCAAAGAATTATATCTCATTTCATCCCTCACGAGTGTTTGCACCCCATTTCTTTTAGGGTTCTCCTGTTGAGTGTTTTCCTCGTTCTTTCCTTGAGTTTTGAGAAATTGTTAGACCATTTCTTGAGTATTGAAATTGTTTGAGATAGTTTGAACGTCCAAATGTTTTAAGTCGAATGTCTACGTTCGAAAAAAAAGTAAAATTTTAAAAATATAAATCGAATCTGTAAATTTGAAAAATCAAAATATGGAATATCTACATCTATGTAAAACAGATCCGATATCACCTAATATTATAATTTTGGAATGTCAAAATCCGATAAAGAGAGATCATTGAGATCCCATTATTTCGCGTTGAATGAAATCTGTGCCTGGGTTAATTAACTTTGCTTTTTGTATGCATAATCCACTTGTTTTTTCTTTGTATGATGGCAATTGATATTCTTACAGTAACATTAATTATGTTTATTATTCATTTATCAGTAACATTCATAAATAGCATAAATTTTTATTTTTTTATTTTGATTTGTGGTTTTGCTGAAAATGCGTAACAATAAAAGAGTTAGATTTATAATAAATGAAATGAAACCATCATTTATGTTAATTTAATTTTTATAATTATTTAATTTTGTTAATATAAAAAATGTATTTTAAATGTTTATTTTTTATGATAAAAAATGCACTTTTATAATTATTTAATTTATTTTTAAGTTTTTTAGATTGTTTATAAATGTTGTATTTATTGTATTAGTTTATGATTTTTTAATTTTATTATAAATGTTTAATTTATTCTATTAGTTTTTTATTTTGTTAAAATTTTTGTATAAAATAAATGGTATGACTTTTTTTTTAAAAAAATGGTATTTAAAATTCACATGAAAATTTGAAATAATTTTTTATGTAGTTTTAAGTTTATTAAATTATTTATAAATGTATAAATTATTATATTAGTTGATGAATTTATAATTTAATTATAATTATTGAATTTGTATTAGTTTTTTATTTGTTTTTTTGAATGATGTAAAAAACTATTTTGGTGTTTTCTTTTTTAAGTTTATTACATTATTTTATTGATTTTAAAATTTAATTATAAATGTTTAATTTATTCTAGTAGTTTTTCATTTTCTTAAAAATGTTATAAAATAAATTATATGACTTTTTTAATTTATTAAAATGAAATTGGTATGTAAAATTGATATGAAAATTTTAAATGATTTTTTTTGGTAGTTTTAAATAAATATTAAATATTAAACAAATCAAACATTAAATTCTATAAAATTATAAAATTTTAAATAAATATTAAATAATTAGAAACAATTAATTTTAATTCAAAATAAATTTAATTTTATATAATTATAAAATCATAACATTTCAATAAAAAAGTAACAAAATATCTCAAAATTATAAAAAATTAAAAAACTATAAATCAATGTAATTAAAATAAAAATGAAAAAACTAGAAAACAAAAAGAAATTAAAACAAAAGAATTTAATAAAAATATAAATTATTAATTAATTAAAATAAATATATGTGTATTAAATGACATAAAATTTAAGAAAGAACCAAAACTGTATTTGGAGATATAAAAAAAGTAAAAAAGAGAGAAATTGAGATCGAAAAGAAAAACAACAGTTTTTATAGAGAAAGAAGAAGTTGTTAAAAAAGTCTGGTCAAATATCTCTTTTTATTAAAAATTAATAACATTTTAATTGCTTTTAATTATAGTAAAATCATGTTTTTTGAAATATTTGGAGATGCAGTGAGAGGTACTCTCGAACATGGTTTGACGGAGGAAGAAAGAGAATAAACAACACAACTTTCAAAACGAAAAACTATAAGAAAGATCATTTAATCTCTAAGACAACTTTAAATATTTTGAGTAAGGAAAAGTAATACATTTAAAAGATATAATATAGAAGTATAGCATAAGTATAAATGAAATTAATAATCGAGTAGATAACCAATTAATTTCAAAAATATTATTTTCATGACTCTTGTGTTTTAAGAAATCATCCCAGAAAAAGATTTTATCTTCTTTTCAGCATTCATTCAAGCATCTAATTATTAACATAGTTCACAATACACATTCCAAAATCTAAGTTTCAAGTGTTAAATAGTTAAAATAAATAACATTAACTAAATTGTAATGGTAATTAAATACATTTGAAGACTATAATATATAAATATAACATCAATTTTTATATAAATAAATTTAATAATAAAGTCAGTAAGCACTTGTAATTCAATGTTATTTTCATGATTCATGTGTTATAAAAAATTAACTGGTAAACAAGATTCAATTATTAGCAAAATTCACTGTATACATTAGAGAATCTAAGTTTCAATTATAAAATAAATAAATAAACTACAAACATTAATCAAATGGCAATGGTAATTAAATACATTTGAAGACTTATAATTCAACATGTTATTTTCATTTAAGCATTCAATTTTCAGCATAGTTCACAATACAGATTCATAAACTGCAAACATTAACCAAATGATAATCATACTTAAATACATTTTAAGCCTATATTACATAAATATAGCATCGAATATAATCTTGATTTAAAATACATTAAGGAATTGGTACATTAGTAGAATTTGGCTTTTAATAACTAAGTATTTTCATAAAGAGTTATTGTATAATGGTCTATAGCATCAAATTTTATCTTTACCAAATATTCATTTACAAAAATGCGCAAAAAAGAATGGTTAAAGATCTAAATATCCCACCCCGATATAACTTCTTAACCAAGATTTTCAAGACAGGAACAAATCTTCTTGACAGCTATTCTAAAACATTGAAATTTGTAGGCGATAATAAAATTTACCCTTTATAAAAAAAAGGAACATCGAAATAACACTTATCGTATTAAAGACTGTTATTTCATGCCCGAGAACAATAAAAAATTACCTCTGCAGCATGCAATATAACACTCGGAGCAAACATAAATACCAACAGATCAGATTGCTTAAATAGAAAATAGAACAATTGTACTTTTGCCAAGAGTAAGATCATGAAGTAAAATAATTAAACCAAGGCAAAAATAAGACACCTTAAACGTCAATACACAAAAATCCATCTACTGAAACTAAAACAAAGTAAATATGACTTATTTCTTCTTGTCTCCAGCTCCACCAGCCCTGCACACAAAGAAAATAACATTAGCATCAGCTAACTGATACGGAGAAGCCAATCAGTAAATAGTGGGATTATAAATATAAACAAAGAATAACCTCATTTTACGGAGAACGTTGGACATCTCCTCACGCTTCTTCTTGGCACGTTTGTGAGTTCCAAGCTTTCTCTTGGCAACCTTAAGAGCCCTCTTATCCTTCCCAACCTTAAGTAACTCGGTTATACGTTTTTCATATGGTGCAAAACCAGCAACCTCTCTTATGAGATTCCTCACAAAGTGCACCCTTTTGCTTGTTTTCTGAGTGCACAACATAAGACAGGTCAGATTCCTTAAAAGAAAAAGACTGATTCTAAATCTGAGAACTGAAAGTAACAAAATTACCAATTAAATTTTCTCTACTGTACAGAATATTAGGTGTGGCACAAAACCATGTTTCCCTACCACAAGAAACTTCTAGCCAGTCTGAAACCGAATAAATACAATAGAAGGGGCAGAAATTTAAAACTTCAAATAACTTTTTACTATGCAGCAAAAACTTTGGACAAAGAACAACTATTTCACAGTTTCATTTAGAAAGACAACCCTAAAATTATAGTCACTGCTTTGAATAATAATTTGATCCTAGTAACGGCATTTCAATCTAAAAAGGTGCAAGTGATAAATGTAAAAGAGTGAATCAAAATTGAAAAACCAAGGATAAAACTTACCCCCTTGCGATCTGAGGGGCGTGAAGGCAA